CATTACTCATCATGAGCATATCATCCACATATAAGCAAACAATGACTATGTGATTTGGAACATTTTTAATGTACACACATTTATCACATTCATTTATCTTAAATCCATTTGACAACATTGTTTGGTCAAATTTAGCATGCCATTGTTTGGGTGCTTGTTTTAATCCGTAAAGGGACTTAACAAGTCTACAGACCTTCTTTTCTTTACCTGGAACAAACCCTTCAAGTTGTTCCATGTAGATTTCTTCCTCCAACTCTCCATTTAAGAAGGCCGTCTTAACATCGCTTTGATGAATTTCAAGACCATAAACTGTAGCTAACGCTACTAACGTTCGTATGGACGTAATTCTTGTAACTGGATAGTATGCATCAAAATAGTCAAGACCTTCTCGTTATCTATACCCTTTGACCACAAGTCTTGCCTTATATTTGTCAATAGTTCCATCATCTTTCATTTTCCTCTTAAAGATCCATTTAGAACCCAACGGTTTATTTCCAGGAGGAAGATCAACCAATTCCCATGTATGGTTGTTCAATATGGATTCTATTTCACTATTGACTGCCTCTTTCCATAACAATGATTCCGAAGAAGACATAGCTTCTTTAAATGTTTGAGGCTCATTTTCCAATAAGAAAGTCACAAAATCTGGTCCAAATGAAGTAGACGTCCTGGTTAAGTGTACTTTCTTTTGTTTCTTCCCGAGGTCGTTTAGATCCTTCACCAATCGACTCACATTCCTTTTTATACGGATACATATTTTCAAAGAACTCAGCATTATCTGATTCTATAACCGTATTATTATGAATGTCGGGATTTTCTGATTTATGAACCAAAAACCGATATGCTTTACTATTAGTCGCATATCCTATGAAAACACAATCAACGGTTTTCGGTCCTATTTTTACCCTTTTAGGTTTAGGAACTTGCACTTTTGCCAAACACCCCCACACTTTAAAATAATTCAAGTTGGGTTTCCTTCTTTTCCATTTTTCATATGGAATGGATTGTGTTTTGCTATGGGGTACTCGATTTAGTATTCGGCTAGCCGTAAGAATGGCTTCCCCCCAACAAGTTCTGTGGCAAACCAGAACTTATCAATAATGTGTTCATCATCTCCTTTAATGAACGATTCTTTCTTTCTGCAATCCCATTGGATTGGGGCGTGTAAGGGGCCGTTGTTTGATGAATAATTCCATATTCTAAACATATTTGTTCAAAGGGAGATTCATATTCACCACCCCTATCACTTCTTATCATTTTAATTTTCTTATTAATTTGCGTTTCAACTTCATTTTTGTATTGCTTGAATGCGTCTATTGCTTCATCTTTACTATTAAGTAAGTAAACATAGCAATATCGAGTACTATCGTCAATAAAAGTTATGAAATACTTTTTTCCACCGCGAGATGTATTGACTTCATGTCACAAATATCTGTGTGAATTAAGTCTAAAGGATTTGAATTCCTTTCAACCGACTTATAAGGATGTTTAACATACTTAGATTCCACACATACTTGACATTTTGATTTGTCACATTCAAACTTGGGCAATACTTCCAAATTAATCATTTTCCGTAAGGTTTTATAATTGACATGACCCAAACGTATATGCCATAATTCATTTGACTCAAGTAAGTAAGACGAAGCTGAAATTTTATTATTATTTTCAACAACCATTACATTCAGCTTGAAAAGGCCCTCAGTGAGGTAACCTTTTCCTACAAATATTTCATTCTTACTTATTACAACCTTATCGGAAACAAAAACACATTTAAAACCATTCTTAACAAGAAGTCCAGTAGAGACTAAATTCTTCCTAATCTCGGGAACATGAAGGACGTTGTTCAAAGTCACCACTTTGCCGGAAGTCATTTTGAGAAATATCTTCCCACATCCTTCAATCTTGGCCTTTGAAGCATTTCCCATAGAAATCGTCTCATCGGGTCCAACAGGAGCATAAGAAGCAAAAGCTTCTCTAACAGCAC